AATGTAAAACCTTGGAAAATGCCCTTTAATACTTTTTAATAGCCTTAATTTTCGCTAAATTGATTTATCAACTTTTAATACTTTTTAAGACCCCGCGGACCCCTTGTACGATGGCACTTTTAACATAAGCCTAAAAACGGTCTTCATTCAAAGGCCCATAGAAGGGTTTTGTATGATATCTTACAAAAAGTGATTTTTCAAAACAGTGTGTTTTTATATGTAAGAATTAGCTAGAAATAATACTTTCTTCGAAAACATAGTGGAGTATTAAAGTAGCAAAAAATGCATGTACTGTTTCGTAACTTTGTTTGGGAAAAAGCATGCAGATGGAGATGGGAAAAGAAATAGAAAAATACAATAAAAGACAGAAAGAGGAAACTCTGCAGAAGAAAACATAAAAGTAAACGATGCCTCCTCTTCAAATCTCTTTGGCACCATTTCTCTCCGCTTCTTAACCATGGTGATGGTTCAGATCTGACTCTCTGACTCCTCACGCCCACTCTGCAGAGCCACATCCTCCCTCTGTGCATTACCATAACTGCTCTCCATCAGTCTCCTCTCTGATCAATACGATGTCGCCTCACTGACGTCTAATGATGGCGATGGCATCGTTTCATCCACTGACATGTGAGCGAGGACGGCTGAAGACTGAAGGATCTCTAATCATCATCAGCACCAGGGGGGGGGGGGTCATACATCTGTTTTTACTCTGTGTAACTGCAGTGATGGACATACATACATTTACCAAAGAATCACACTTTAGTATTATGTTGACACAACTGTACTGTACTTGAGTACTTCCATTTAATGCTACTTTATACTTCTAAGAGTTGCAGGTCCGCTGCAACTCTGACTACTTTGATCCAGGCTGAAGACTTTTCTTTTTGTCGCTGCTTTTAATTGAAACTGAGCCGTTGTGTTCATCAGTAAAGTGGAACTTAAGTGTTCATATCTTAATGCACTGTAACTTTTTATTCATGTATTTTTTATTCATGTACTTTTTATTCATGTATTTTTTCTTTTACTGTTTCTTTTATAATCTTTTTTTTTTTTTAAATGCCTTTGTCTGAATGTCTTTCATTTTTGTAAAGCACCTTGAAATTCAAGGCAATTCAAGGCTTGAATTGCCTTGTGTTGAAAGGTGCTATATAAATAAACTTGCCTTGCTAAATGTCAGAGGGAAATATTGTACTTTTTACTCCAACCTACAGCTATTTAACTCGTGTTTACATCTAAAAATACATTGTTATGCTTGCATAATATGATGCAGTAATTTACGACTTATCAACTCTGAACTTTCCCAATTAAAATACGTGTCCCATGTTGACAAAGTACTGCATTAAAATGTGTTTCTCAGTCATTAAAAAGAGGATAATGTAGACCATAATAGTAAAATATTGTAAAAAGATGAATCCTGCATATCGAGTACTTTTACTTTCGATACTTTAAGTACATTTAGCCGATAATACTACATTAATTATGAGGATTTATGACTCTGAAATAGGCAGTTTTGCAAGATGAGCACTTTTGCTATTTGATGTTACTACTTATGAATGTTTTCTATAGTAAAATGTGGAATTCAGGACTTTTTTGAGTATTTTAAGACTACAGTTTTTCTACTTTTAATGGAGGAAAGAATCTGAATCTTCCCTGTCTGTGTAAGAGTAATTAAAACATCGATCAACAGCGGAGGCAAACCTTAAAGTCAGAAATAGCTATTATTTCATTTGAGTGTTGAATTCATGCCAGACATTATCACTGCCTAAAAACTACACACTGTTACAGTACGCAGAACAAAATGATATCTTAAGCAGAGAAGTGTCCCTTAAACCTCTGGTCTCTGTTCAGTAACTCCCACACTGAGAGGCTGCTTTACGCTTCAGCGACAGGACGGTGAGTTCACTTTCTCTTTTCTTCACTCTTGAATCTTTAATACAAACATTTAGGATCATACAGGTGTTTTGCATTTTTTATTTGTCGACTGCACTCCATTTAAAATGTCTACTTCAGGCTGCTGTGTGTAGTGACTCTTGCTGTTGTGCCGTGGTGAGTTCATGTTGAGCTGCTACCCTTTTATAGCACCCACATTTTTACTGAACAACTTTAAAACCTGGTGGGGTTTTCTTTCCGTTCATTCTTATACGTGTAGCAAACTATCTTACTGGCTGCCAGCAAACGAGCCAAGGCCAGAAGGGCAAATGTTACAAGGGCTGTCCTTGACTAAAGAAATGAATCGAATAACAATCGGCTATTGATTATGTGTTAAATGGACAGATCTGTAAAAGTTACTCCTCCAAAAAATTATGCAAAAGCAGCACTTTAAACCTGCTTTGGTTTAGGGCTGCTCAATTCATCGTATTTTAATCGCAATTACGATTTTGGCTTGCAACGATTATGAAAACAACATAATTGAAATAAAACGATTATTTCTTTTCATTCATATTTCTTTTAATTATTTTTTTAAACTATTTTTTGGTGTTTTTCAGTTGAATTATAATTAAAGTTCAGGGTAATCAACTGTTAAAAACATACTGTTCACATTGTTTTCAATAAATGGATGTTTTCAAAGTAAATGGATAATCGTTTTTTAATAATCGTGATATCAATTATTGACCCAAATAATCGAGATTATGATTTTTGCCATAATCGAGCAGCCCTACTTTGGTTGACACGACACATGCTCAGATAGCTCATCAAACATGGAAAAACGGTTTTAAAAAATGTCGTCAGTCGACTAAGACCAAACTGACAAGCAACTAATCAACCAAGAGGGTCACCACTAAACCTACACTTTATGAACTGCAAACCTGGACATTTGTTGTGGGGGACCTTTAAAATGCAAAACTTGATCTTAAAGTTCATTTTAAAAGGGACATGCTGCAGGATCTATAAATAACAAGGGATAATGTTTGCAAATGCTAGTGTTTGACTCTGCTAAGCCTTTGTAGCATAATAGGAACATGGAAACTGTGTAAATTAGAATATGCCTTTCATTGCATACGGCTACAATAAATCCAAATCTATACAAAACTATTATTAAACATATTTCATAACACTTTATAATGTTTGATAATGTCCTACAATATTAACTGCTTCATTGCGTGTGTGAGTGCGTCTTGTTTTTCCCTGCTTCAGCCTGAGGTGCTGCAAAATAAATCAGTGTGAGGGTGTTTTGCATTTTGCTGCATCATGCCCAATACGAAATCACTCAGAAACCAGGGTAGGCAGCTCTCTGCAACATGCTGTCATGCCTCTGTGCTATAGCCTGCCCCAGTGCAGTGTGGGATTTATTGGATCACACTCAGTCACTTGAGGAGACAGGCAGCCGATTGTACTGTGATTTCATAAAGAATCAGCCTTATCTTCGCTGCTGTCAGACTGCATCATTGTTCTCTGCCTGTTACATCATTGGCAAGCTTGAGGTCAGCTTTTTCTCACGATTGCAGCTGCACCTGAACACCCCATGACTCAGGGATTGGAGTTTTTTTTTTCTCAAGATGAACCGAGGTTTGAGAGTCTGAGTCACACTGTACCTCTGTGCACGATCTATTTCACTTTCCGCCTGTTCGTATGAGACAAAGCAATAGTAGTATTAAATCCGTCTCCATGAGTCATCGCTGCGTTTCCTCAGCCTTCAGTTCTGCAGGTCTCTCTCTGAAGCCTCTATTATTTCCCTCTCTGCGTTCAGTGGAGAGGGGAACCATGCTCTATGCTCCTAACAGCAGTGCGAGCTTAGCAAGTGCACCGAGCAAGGTTGAAACCATTTCAACTGTAAGCGAAAAGTGCCGTCCTTCAAACAGGTTTTCCACAGTTGCATAGCAACGGCAATTGCCATGACCGGCGTTTCCCACGGACAACGTTACCGAAGACAAACTGCCTCGTACGGGCATGGGACGACTGCAGCTCTGCATCCTGTTGCCTGCAGGATGTCAACACTTCCTGATAGGATGCTCCTAAGATAGTGTTACCAGGCAACAAACCCCAATTCGAGATTTGACAGAAATATGTTTTGAGTTAAACTAAATAAGAGCAGAAATCAAAAAGCTACGGAGCTACCTGGTGTTACTATGGTGATCAGTACAGCCGACGACTTCTCTTAAACATAAAGCACAGTGTGTTTTCTTTATGGTCTCAGCAAGGACAACCAATCCCTTTGCTTAGCAGAAATATATATTACATAACGCTGCTCAGTCCGCCAAATATCAGTGTTAGAGAAGCTGTGGTGTTTATGTTCGTCTGTCTCTGGAGTCTCATGCTCTCCTGCAACATGAACATTCCTGTTACAACCGTTTGCTTTGTAGCCATATTAGCTGATAAAAGGATGAATATGTATCAACCTTGTACACCCACCAATCACATTGTCTCATTACAGACAGAAAGCACAAAGGCATCGGCTGCCCCGTCTGAATCCGAGAAGGAAAACACTCCAACAAGTCACCTCTCCTATTAGGTGAGTCCAAAAAGCTTTACAATAGATCACTTTCAGCAATACAGTTTTCTTTTGCTTGCAATTTTGCCAGCAAGCAGATGTTTCCAGGTCATATTTACCATGTGGGCAAACCTTGCTTGGCTTGAACAAAACCTGCGTAAGAAAAGCTTTAAAGTTAGTCGAGACCAAAGTCAAAGATTTACACGAGTTTCGGCAAAACAGAGAGTGGGTTGATTAACTGGACGCCACGTTTAGAGGAATACGTTTTCCATTAGAAATGACAATTTGATTCTACCAATCCTGTGAAATAGAATGGATGTACCAACTCCTCCATGTAATGAGTAGTTTTCAATATGGCATCCTATGTAATCGTCCTCCAAAGACAAATTCACAATTTTCCTGGATGTTCTGAAATAAAACTCAAAATGGTGCTTTCTAGTTTCCAGCATTATTTATACAATAAATAAAGTAGACTTGGTTTATTTCAATCCACTCATGAGTTCAGGTTTGCCTTCCTCTCGCGTTATCTTTGACTTTGGTTGTAGTAAGAATACTTTAAAATCTAACTTACGATTTCTGGTGGTGGAGGGTGTGGGCGTGGTGGTTGTTGGAGGCGTTGGTTTTGTGCATGCGCTCAATCCTCTCCCTCTCTTTCTCCACAAAGTTGGTGTTGGTGCCGGTGCTGGTGGAGGGCAGGCGGGTCAGCCGGCTGTGGGCCCGCGGCTGGTCCCGAGACGGCATCGGAGGCGGAGGAGGAGGAGCCGGAGCCGGAGCTGGAGCCGGGGGGGATATCGGAGTCGGGATTTGGGTAGGGATCGAGATGGAGGTCGGGGCTGAAGACGGAGCGGGAACCGGGATCGCCGTCGTAGGGATGCTGTTGGAGCTGTTGTAAGAGTGGTGGGCGGAGGAGTGGTGGTGGTTGTGATGGTACTGGTGGTGGTGGTGGTTCTGGTGCAGGGGGATGGAGGAGGGGGGCTGCGGAGGAGGAGCTTGGTATTGGCTGTTGTGGTGGTGGTGGTGGTGCTGTTGGTGATTCTTGGCAGACATGGAAGTGGATGTGGTCGGTGGAGGCGGTGGAGGGGGAGGAGGGAGTGGAGGCTCGGGAGGAGGAGCGGGTGGAGGAGGAACGACGGGCTGCCGCTCCAAACGCAGGTCTTTGTTCTCCTGGCTGAGCCGGTCCAGCTGGACTTCCAGCTCCTCGATCCGGCGCCTCTGAGTTTCCAGAAGCTTCTGCTGGCTCTCGATGATGTTGTTGAGTTCAAGAAGGTACTCCACCGCCCGGTTAGGGCTCTCTGGGCTGCCTTGGCCTGGGCCGTGATTAGCATCCATAACTAGCTGGTCTGAGAGTTAGCACACAGGCTAATGGTCTAAATGTTTATGACCAAGGTTTTCTAATGCTAATTTCTAAACTAAAGAACCTAAATGCTTTTTGCTGTTACAGTTGGTTAGATCCAGGTTGTACACTAAATGCTAATCTTCTGTAATCTACAGCTAGGTCAGAGCCAAATGCTAACGTGTGTTATACCACAAGGGCTTGTTCAGGTAAATAAGCTAGCAAGCTAAAGGCTAAAACCAGCAGAACTGAATAAGCCTAAACACAAGAGAACCAAATAACTACCAACTAGATCAGAGCTCCGTACTCTAATGTCTAGTCTACAACCTAATGTCTAAATAACTACAAAACTAAACGCTATGGCCCTAAGCCCTACACCCTAAAAACTAAAGTATATTTCACCCTCCCCCCCACCAGAGGTAAGTGGGGGGGAGAGGAGTTTACTTCTTTGAGTTCTGATCTGACGATCAAGATGGACCTCGTTCTCGCTGGATCCAATCAAAGAGGTTTATCGAGTCTTCGACCATCCCCTGGTTCAGTCAGGTGTTTCTGTCCGGGTTCAGACCCATGACGGATAAAAAGAGAACAAAGTTAGAGAAAAAGATTGTCTTCTTTCCCCCCCTCCCAAGAAAACTGTCTTTTTGTTTGTCAGTGAGTCAGTTGTATCCACTCTTTGCACTCCATGCAGAAGATCAGAGCAATGGTTTCCAAGAAGCAGGTGTGGAAATCACAGATAACAGAGACGTGATTTGTCCCTCTGTGTCAAAGATATTGCACATTAGCATTGCTGAGAGAAGGAAGATTGTCCTGCAAGAGGGCTAGAGGGATATTTTCTGCATCCAATAAGTTCTGCAGCAGGAATGCAGTCTGGAGGTGCGTGCAAACACTTCCAAAATGCTGCCTAACCACCAGCTTCCACGTAGTACCTCATAATAAAATCCTGGTGTCAGAAACCTTGTGTTAATTCTCCAAATCAAAGAGTTTTCTGAGCAGGAAAAGAGACTTCAAAGAATTCAGTTCAACAAAACATTTTGGAACCAGACTTCGAGAAATCAACACAACCCAAAGCTCCAAAAAATGAAAATATAACGTCCGTCGAAGATCATCTTCTGAGAAACATGGAAGAGGAGATGATCACCTCTCCCTGGTCCAAGGGTTCACCTGCAGGACTCAGCCTGTCATCCTGCAGTCGGGATGTCGGAGGAAGCGATGCGAGAAGGTGAAATGTCATGTCAGATGTTTGTCTTGTTCCTGGATACAGTGAGACATCTGGGATTCATCGTCCCGCTGGATGGCATATCCAGATCCTTCTATGTCATCCGTCCGTTACATGAAAAAGAACCAAAGAAAGAGAAGGTGAGAAGGTAGTAGGTTGTACAACAGGAGAGGCAGAGTCAACAGGAAACATCAACTTTCACAATGTTCCTTGAAAAAACACCTTTATTTTCCTTCATCATTTAGTCTTTGCCCTCTTTATTTTAGTCCATTTATGTCCCTTACTTTTGCTTTCAACATAAATGTGTCAGTTTTTTTGGCTTTTCCTTTTTTCTCCTCTCTTCCTGATCTCTCTTTTGCTCTCCTTCCAAACGCTGTTCTCGTTTTATATAGCTGTAACGGCCCGTCCACACAGCGGCGTGCGTTGAAGCTTGCCTGCGGGCGTGTCTGAAACTCGACCAACAACCAATCACATGAATCTCCCGCCCCTGACACACAAGCAGCGGTTTGATTGGCTAGAGCTTGTACTGGCATATGATTCGATTGGCTGACGCTTCTGCCGAGGCTTCAAAAGTTGAACATTGCTCAACTTTTGCAGCAAGCCACGCCAGCAAAGCTCCGCGTCGCTTCCCACAATGCAGTTCGGCGAAAAGTGACGTCACCCCATTCAAAGTGAATGGTGAAGCTTTCAACGCACGCTGCTGTGTGGACCGACCGTTTAATCTCCATCCCTTTCATACATGTTCTCTCCTTCTCCATGGTTGCTAGGAGTGTGAGGTCTCTCAGCCCATAAATACCAATGACATGCTCCGTCTAAACCATCAGAGACGAGAAAAATCATCACACCCCATAAGCCTCTCCTCCTACACTCTATCACTATCCCTCCTCTGTCTAAGTCCACCTCCTCTGATCTCACACTCTCTCTATGCATTTTCTCACCCAGTCTTAGATCTCTTCCAATTCAATCCTGTCCTGTTGTGTGTGTTGCACTATATCAATGTAATATCTCAAATTAAATAACATTTAAAACTCTTGGTAGCCACATGCTGGCTGCAGCTAGCCGTTCCTGCAGCTAATGTCACACAACATTAAACACAAGGAGGGCTGCATCGTAAAAACGTCCTGTAGGAAATCCCAAGGTAAGCGTCGTCAGGGCTATGATAGGATTTTGTATTCATTTATTAATCAACCCTATGTCTCTGTTCAATCACAGCTTAGCAACAGTTACAAGGCATTTAGAGTTGACTGATTATTGGCTTTGATATTCAGCATTTTGACGATAATACCACATTTTGGGCTCTTATGGAGCCATCTTTGTCTCTCTGTCTGCAGTCAACCTCAATGTGCCACCCACCGCCCATCTGATTGATTACACGTCATAAATCATGTTTTGTTTCCTATTAGCGTTTTCTTTCTTTTTTTAACAAATTGTACGTGTCCTTGGGTGTCATGAAAGGCGCCTACATTTTTTAAATTATTATTATTAAGTAATAGTCTGCCAGAATAGTGTGCCACTGATGGGAAGTTACTAGGGGTGTAACGGTATCCGTATTCGTCTCGTACCGTCACGGTTCGGACGTCACGGTTCGGCACATGCAGTCACACGGCGAATACGCCTTTTTTTACGAGTGGGAAAAAAGTCTGTCCCTCAGGGCAGTATCCACTACACTATATATAATCCAGGGGGCGGTATTGCGCCTGAAAGCCAGCCGCCCGTAAATAACAAATGAAGAACAAGAACAAAACACAAAAAAACGAACACAATACATGAAGAAGAACATTTAGCTATGGCGAGTTCACATAACACACAGGAGCTAGAAGACCCAGCTGCTTCTTTTAAATCAGCTGTGTGGGAACATTTCGGGTTCCCTGTGGACTACAACAATGATGGAGTGCGAGTTGTGGATCGGACGAGGACGGTGTGTCGGCGTTGTTCGACAGCGGTGCGGTATGCTAGTGATAACACGAACATGCTCAATCACATCCGAGTCACCCCCTGATCCCACCGGAAGCGTCTGCGCTGCGTTGCGCTGCGACCTCCTCCTGCGTCATAACCCACCAGGCGCGTTTCAAAACGTTGCAGAAGCGGAGCGTCGTGTGTGCAGCCTCGCAGTTGTTGGATGAACGTTCCACTTCCTGCCTGCGCCGCACTGCGCCGCATCAAAAATAGGATTCATCCTATATTTTAGAAATTCCTTGCGGCGAGGAGCTTCTGGGACGCTTCGAGCCGCGGCGCAGCGGGTCTGGTGGAATAGCAACCATTGACTAGAGTGGCCGCGATCGCTAAAAACGCCGCAGCCGCAGCGTAACGCAGCGCAGACGCTCCTGGTGGGATTAGGGGGTCAGTCTCAGTCCCCAGCGAGAGGGTTTTCTCGACGGCAGGTGACATAGTTACCGCCAACAGATCTGCCCTCACTACTGACAACGTAGACAAACTCATCTTTTTGAAGAAAAACTTGAAAATAGAGTAAAGCGTGAGTACCTTTATTTAGGCATAATGGCCTCACACACTCACAAGTTAATTACACATGTTAGACATTGCTCCTAAAGGTATAGATTTTATTTTGTTTTATATTTATCATTGTATTTATTTTATATTTTGACATCAGAAGATGTTATACAGTTCTGTATTGCCTTTTATTGATTGCGATTGAAACACTTTCTTATTATTTATTTTAATATTTTCAAGACATTCTTTTTAGTTGTACAGCTTATTTAACCTTTTAGTTTGACATCAGCCATTATAAATAATATGGCCATCTGAGTGTGTGTGTGTGTGTTACTGTTTGTGGTTTGTTTTTAACTGTGTAATACAGTTAATGATTCCAAATGTTAGAGTTCTAAACTTGCACTACTGTTAAAAATAAATATTATGCATTAGGAACTTTTTTTTGCTTTTCCTTGTTGTACCGAACCCGTACCGAACCGAGACCCCCAAACCGAGGTATGAACCGAACCGTGACTTCTGTGAACCGTTACACCCCTAGAAGTTACTACCAATGCATTTTTAGACTTAGAGTTTTAGAGTTGATATAAACTTCACAATTCTCGGAGTCAGAATCTGAATCAGGTTTAGTGTCAAGTAGGTTTTTGAGTTGGTGAATAACATAAGCAAAGTAAGTGATGCAAAAATCAAGAAACATAAATATTGATTTCGTTTTAGGGAAGTGATAGTTTTGTCCAAAAATGTGTGAATTGGCAAAAACAACCAGTGTTTCCAGTGGTGTTTTTCTCTAAGAGTGGACCACAGCAACACAAATACATGTTCAAGAACTGCGCCTGCATTTGGGTAAGAGATGTGATCTGTTACTACATTATTTATCATAGATTGAAAAACTGCAAAACTATCTCACTTGCCAACAGGCGTTGCATCTGAACCTGTTTTTATGAGACAGGCGCTGTGTTTGTGACAATAAAGACTCCAGTCTGCCGTGTAGTTCGTGCAAAAGTAAATACGTTAGCAGTGGAAACCGTGGAAGTTATTGTGGGTCCTAAATAAATATATCAGAAAACCAGTTAATAAACAGTGATAGCTTCATCAAAAATGTACTCACTTTGATATTGAATAAAATAGGAGAACAAGAAATGTCTTGATTTAATCACAGGAATTATGGGTAATGAAGTATCTTACCCTGTCTAGTAGTATATATAGTATATCTCTAAAACTAATTGCCACGTCTCTAATGTGCAAAGTGTTTGCTGTAGAAAAAGTTCCAGTTGTATACCTTGCTATCTCACACATGCGCGCACACACACACACACACACACACACACACACACCAATGAAATGGCTCTCTGGTGTCTATTTCAAAGCGGTCAAACAGTTTCAGTTTTTATATCTCTTTCCATTAAGCACATTCAATTATTCATGACTCACTAACTGACCACAATCCCTCTCTCTCTCTCTCTCTTTGGATGTGCAGACTGTTTGCTTCATACACACCGTAAATCAGGCAGAAGCAGAGGCAGTAAGCAAGCTCTCACTTTATAACACTAAATGGCATTTGTGTTTGTAATTGTAATTCCGATATAACATGTGACAGAAATGCTTTAAAGAGGTCCTATCATGCTTTTTGGGTTTTCCCTTCCCTCTAGTGTGTTATAAAGGTGTTTGTGCATGTAAATGGTCTGCAAAGGCTAAAATCCCAAAGTTCACACCAGAGGGAGTTTCTCTCCCACACACTCCCCCGCCTGAAACGCCTCCATTGGACTCCTTAGTTTACTTCTGGAACAAAGTGGCATCACACTCGCGCTTCTATTGGATAGCGCTCCAAACATTGTTCGTGATAGGCTAAGGGACGGGACATCTCCAAGCAGTTGACCAATCACAACAGAGCCGGCCAGCTAACCAATCAGAGCAGACTGGGCTCTGGTTTCAGACAGAGGGTGAAAAGAGGTGCTGCAGCACAGACAGTATGAGAAAGATAAAGAGCTTTTTGAACATTAAAGCATGGAGACATGTCAGAGTAGAGACACTACATACTGATATACACCTGAACATCAGCAGGAGAGGACTCTTTAAAGTAGAGACACTACATACTGATATACACCTGAACATCAGCAGGCGAGGACTCTTTAAAGTAGAGACACTACATACTGATATACACCTGAACATCAGCAGGAGAGGACTCTTTAAAGTAGAGACACTACATACTGATAAACACCTGAACATCAGCAGGAGAGGACTCTTTAAAGGAGAGACACTACATACTGATATACACCTGAACATCAGCAGGAGAGGACTCTTTAAAGTAGAGACACTACATACTGATATACACCTGAACATCAGCAGGAGAGGACTCTTTAAAGTAGAGACACTACATACTGATATACACCTGAACATCAGCAGGAGAGGACTCTTTAAAGTAGAGACACTACATACTGATATACACCTGAACATCAGCAGGAGAGGACTCTTTAAAGTAGAGACACTACATACTGATATACACCTGAACATCAGCAGGAGAGGACTCTTTAAAGTAGAGACACTACATACTGATATACACCTGAAAATCAGCAGGAGAGGACTCTTTAAAGTAGAGACACTACATACTGATATACACCTGAACATCAGCAGGAGAGGACTCTTTAAAGTAGAGACACTACATACTGATATACACCTGAAAATCAGCAGGAGAGGACTCTTTAAAGTAGAGACACTACATACTGATATACACCTGAACATCAGCAGAAGAGGACTCTTTAAAGTAGAGACACTACATACTGATATACACCTGAACATCAGCAGGAGAGGACTCTTTAAAGTAGAGACACTACATACTGATATACACCTGAAAATCAGCAGGAGAGGACTCTTTAAAGTAGAGACACTACATACTGATATACACCTGAACATCAGCAGGAGAGGACTCTTTAAAGTAGAGACACTACATACTGATATACACCTGAACATCAGCAGGAGAGGACTCTTTAAAGTAGAGACACTACATACTGATATACACCTGAACATCAGCAGGAGAGGACTCTTTAAAGTAGAGACCCTACATACTGATATACACCTGATCATCAGCAGGAGAGGACTCTTTAAAGTAGAGCTAAGGGGGGCATAGTGTAGCATTTAGCAGCCAACGAGACAGATATTTCCCTCGGGAGCAGGTAGAGACCAACAAGCTAAAAGGAGTAAATATTGGTTTTACAATCATGAGGTGGACACAAACACAAACACTCCTAATGAATCACCATGCTGCTTTGTGACTGCTCAATGTGAAATGAGCAACTGTTTTCATACCAGGTGAGGATATATACATGATGTGTTGATCAGTCTTCACTGACCAAAAGTGTCTAAACTAAATCACTTAATGCACGTTTTAGTTTAGCTTTTTCCAAAGTCATTAATGAACTTTCTCGCTCAAACTCTAGACATATTCGTGACATGTCCCTTTAAAATGTGCTCGTTGCAGATGAGCCATTGACTTCACGACATAATTACATTTTCTGGGGTTTTAAATTTGAGACAAGCCCTGAAATAAATCTTCACTCTTGTTTCAGTACGCATTTTATATGAACCCAATTTCTTATCAAAGTGTAGGCGGTTTGAAAACCCAATTTTGTCCCTATTCGGATTTATAATATTCCAGTTGAATTTGACAGTAGCAGCAGGACTATTTTAATTGCCCAATTTTACAGTCACGTTATCTGTCATCGACACACACACACACACACACACACACCGAGTAGCTCATACAACCCACACATGTTTCACACACACAGCAGCTCACACAGCGTACTTCCACAGCACGAACACACACACACACACACAAGACCTCATGGCCTATATAGCCAACAGTTACACGACATACATACGAGTGCGCACGCACACACACACACACACACACACACACACACACACACACACACACACACACACACACACACACACACACACACACACACACACACACACACACACACACACACGATGCAGCATCTAGAAAAAAAAGCAGAGAGGAATGAAAAGCAGGAAGCGGAGTCTCACAGGTTTCAGCGGCTCCTGCAGAGGTGATGGAGGGATGAAGGTGGGGGAGGAGGAAGAGGAGGAGGGAGGATTATCGATCCCTGCTCATCCCTCTATCTCCTCCTCCGCTGCTGCTGTCACCATCATCTCCCTCCGAATAAAAAAAACAAACACACAACCGCTGACGTTTCTCTCTATTTCTGATTCTTGTTGATCAGATTATGATCAATTCCTCGCCTCCTTCTCTCCTCCTGCATGTATCCTTCTGCTGCAGGCCTCCTTCCTCCTTTTCTTCTTGTTGCCGAGTCAATCTCTTTCTAATTATCATTCCTCTGCGTCTGACAGCCGAGCGATCCGCTGCTGCAGCGCTGATGATCCCCCCTCTCGCTGTGAACGGACGCTGCTTTGGTTTTTATCACTGGTGGTAATATATTAGTATTTTTCTCCGCCGCTATGCTGCCGTAGAAAGAGGAGGAGGAAGGAGGGAGAGAGGAGGGAGGAGGTGTCGAGTCCAGACAGCAGCCTGGATAGATGGATGGAGGAGGTGGAAACAGAAGAAGGAAGAAGGAGAAAGGAGGGAGGAAAAGTGTGTGTGTGTGTGTGTGTGTGTGTGTGTGTGTGTGTGTGTGTGTGTGTGTGTGTGTGTGTGTGTGTGTGTGTGTGTTGGTAGCAGAGAGGAAAAAACGCACACCGTCACGCGGCGACCAACGCAGAAATCACATCACCGCTGGTTTACCGCACAACCAGGAACATCACACATACGTTACAGAGGCTGGGGGACAGTGTTACCAACAGAGAGGACTTCACACACACTCAATCCAGAAATGTTATGCAAGAATCAGAGACACAAAAGCTACAGAAAGACGAACAGATCATAGGCTCGTGACCACAGGCTGCAGGTAAAATAGTGTAGTCATATAATGTGGTATTAAAATGATTAATGATGATATGAATTTAAATTCAATCTTCATTCAAAAGTAAGGCATCCAATGAGGCATGTTACTATAATTTGTTATTTATTTATACTGTATGTTAAAAAATTAGGAAGTATATTGAACAAAGTACATAGGGACAAACTAAGTCAATAAATACAAAGCATTAAAAGAGGCATTACGGGACGCTCTATAACACTCAACTTGTGCACAATCACATTGAATTAAAACTGCATACACAAATTCTAGACAGTCATATCGAAAATACCTTCTAAAAGGAAAAATAAACTCTCAGTTAAATAGATATGTTAACTAAATCGTTGCAGTTACCCCTGACTGAGTAACCTGACCTCATTAAAGAGGCCCTTTGTAGCTTTATATACATCTGGGGTTTCCCTTTCCTGTAGTGTGTTTTGTGTGCATGTAAATGGTCTGCAAAGGGTAAAATCTCAAAGTGTCCCTCCAGAGGGAGTTTCTCTCCTACAACTCCCCCCCTGCCTGAAACCCCTCCATCGGACTCCTTTGTTTACTTCCAGAACATGGTGACATCACAATGTAACAGTTGCACTTCTATTAGCTAGCACTCCAACACATTGTACGAGGCTAAGGGGCGGGACATCTCTAAGCGGTTGACCAATCACAACAGAGCCGGCGAGCTAACCAATCAGAGCAGACTGGGCTCTGGTTTCAGACAGAGGGTGAAAAGAGGTGCTGCAGCACAGGCAGTATGAGAAAAATAAAGAGCTTGTTGAACATTAAAGCATGGAGACATGTAGAGACACTACATACTGATATACACCTGAACATCAGCAGGAGAGGACTCTTTAAAGTAGAGACAGTACATACTGATATACACCTGAACATCAGCAGGAGAGGACTCTTTAAAGTAGAGACACTACATACTGATATGAACCTGAACATCAGCTGGAGAGGACTCTTTAAAGTAGAGACACTACATACTGATATACACCTGAACATCAGCAGGAGAGGACTCTTTAAAGTAGAGACGCTACATACTGATATACACCTGAACATCAGCAGGAGAGGACTCTTTAAAGTAGAGACACTACATACTGATATACACCTGAACATCAGCAGGAGAGGACTCTTTAAAGTAGAGACAGTACATACTGATATACACCAGAACATCAGCAGGAGAGGACTCTTTAAAGTAGAGACACTACATACTGATATACACCTGAACATCAGCAGGAGAGGACTCTTTAAAGTAGAGTCACTACATACTGATATGAACCTGAACATCAGCAGGAGAGGACTCTTTAAAGTAGAGACACTACATACTGATATACACCTGAACATCAGCAGGAGAGGACTCTTTAAAGTAGACACTACATACTGATATACACCTGAACATTAGCAGGAGAGGACTCTTTAAAGTAGAGACGCTACATACTGATATACACCTGAACATCAGCAGGAGAGGACTCTTTAAAGTAGAGACAGTACATACTGATATACACCTGAACATCAGCAGGAGAGGACTCTTTAAAGTAGAGACGCTACATACTGATATACACCTGAACATCAGCAGGAGAGGACTCTTTAAAGTAGAGACACTACATACTGATATACACCAGAACATCAGCAGGAGAGGACTCTTTAAAGTAGAGACACTACATACTGATATACACCTGAACATCAGCAGGAGAGGACTCTTTAAAGTAGAGACACTACATACTGATATACACCTGAACATCAGCTGGAGAGGACTCTTTAAAGTAGAGACACTAAAACTGATATGAACCTGAAAGTTAGCAGAATAAGACCTCTTTAATAGATAAGTCAACTAATCGTTGCAGCTTGACTGAGTAACCTTTTCCATATTTAAATAAGATACTGCATTTGGTTGGCCAGAGAACGGGCACACTATAACAGATCAACAAGTTATTATGGAAAAGCTAATTTTCTGATTTCACATTTCATTACCACAGAATTTGTATCCTTGTTACAATTACCATTTCAAATGTGAGTGTTGAAGATCCTTACGTTTCTTTCATTAACTGTCAATGTTACACAACTACCAGCAGCACTGACCTCCTACACAACTGCATTTATGGTAAGTGGATTCCCACACTGTACACACACTGTAGGATGAGCAAAAGGCCCAGCACATGATAGGCTAATACAGCAAGTTGGTTCCCCATAATAACTGTGCCACTATTTGAATAACCAGAACAACAATTCATACTCAAAGTACTTTGCTTCTGGCAGTATACAGATTCATTTCATATTCTATTTTGCTTGAGTGCAGAAAGCAACACGTGGCTCGGCATGAAATCACACTATGTATAAAGACTTAACTAAGGCTGCACAGTTGATCAAAATTGTATCGAAATCACAATATTGGCTAGTGCAATATCCATGTCACAGGAAGCACAACATCTGTTAAAGGCTAAATATGTGAACAAATACGATTTTACTTTAATTATTGTGCATTGTACCAGACTCTGAAACATATTCTACAGACTTTTTTGCAACAAATCTTCCACGATTATTTTTAATATATTTTTCAGAGACAATGAGAATTTTGTCCCACAAATGATCGATTCCTCTAACATTTTGAATCATATCGCAATTGCAATATTAGTCATAATAGTTGCTGTAAGTAATTTTGTTCAAAGCATGCAGCACTACTATTAACATTTCTCAATGGTGATGTTTCCATACAGGATATTATTGAAGCTATTACACGTCCAAGGGTTTCACATTGCATTAGATCTTCATACCTACACAGATACTATAAAAGTAAGAGGTTGACTGTCACTCTCTGTATACAATTGTCAGAGATTATCTTAAAAAAAGAACAAAATATGAAAAAGAAAACAGCTCCAAATGAGAAGATGTAAACAATTAACTAATACTATCACAAAACATGTGTTGCTGTGGAAATGTTACTTTACTCATACATATGAGCTAAAGAATATCAATCATAGTATTGGAGCAACTAGTATGTCCATAGAGGCTGTAACAATAAATAATGTATGAGAAATACCTCAAAACACATCGACAGATTTGATTTAGGATATTATTAAGAAGCCAGAGGAACTTCATTGTGTGTCCAAGAGGTTCATGTAATATGATACTGGCCTTATACAGGTATGATGAAGTGTTTAGCTGTGTTGTTGTTATGTTATGATTCAGGTGTTACTTTTTAACATACACTATATTGCAATACTCTAAGCAGTGAAATATTACGCTTATATAAAGTCAAAATTAAGTAAATATTATATAAAGAATATAACAGCAGATGCATAAGATGATTTAACACGGTCACTGTAACCTATCATCCAAAATCATGGCACTATTATGTTGATTGTGAGGGTAAGAAAAGGTATACACACAACTCAACAGGCTGAATGCAGGCCCACTAATTCAATCACACCCTCCAGTAAATGACACACACAGCTACCGCCAGGGGATACTGGAAGCTCACGATAATTCAAATACAACATATAGTGGAAATAAGAGGCTGCATCAGGCCTCCATACATCACACCATGCTGTAGCAATACCATAGAAGAAGAATATAACGTGGTTTCTAACAGGGCTGATGAAGCTTTCCATAAACGTCTATACATTAATATTATTAGAGTGTTTTAGGTTTTTATCTGTTCGCATATTCCGGCATTATGTAGTTGGAAAACCAACTAACCGTCAGCCTAATTATCGACGCATAGGCTATGGTGAATGATCCGAGGAAACGTGATGAAGGATTTTTGATAAAGCCCTTGTAATTCAAATAAAAAAATCACCAGCACTGAGTTTTTTCTGCTGTCTGCGGACATTGAGCAAGAGCAGAAAACGCACGACCAAACACACACACACTCAGTCCACACACACACGCACACACTGCCGTTTAACACCAAGCTGAACGTCACGAAGACAGATATTGATTTTGTTTGATAGAAATTCACCTGTAGTGTGAGTCGGTCCTCTGTCCTCTGCTGCAGAATAACAATAATCCCCATCACACACACTCACACACTCTCACACACACTAGCCTCTGTCATCAGGAGCTGCTGGGAGCTGTGGCTGCAGACGAGCCAAAGATCCTCTATCACCGAAAAGAGCGATCACTCTGTTGCCACTAAAAACAATTATCTATTTTCCCAGGACTGAACCCTAAACCTGGAAATGAGTTAGTATTTTAGCACTTCAGGGCCCACTGCCTTGAAGCCGATGGTTTAATCCAGGAGTGTCAAACACAAATACACAGTGGGCCAAAATTAAAAAATCGGTACTGGTTCAATGTTTATTGCAAAACTGAATGAACTTAACTTATTGAACATATTAAACCTGGAACTAACAAAGCTTAAATTATTGCCAATAGAGAGGCGAAGTCCCGCCCATCTACTTCCGACCCATGGGACCTTATTTCGGAAAAATTATGTAGCTTCGTGATTGGCCCAACACAGCAGCTGTTAGCTGTTAGCACACACTCAGAGCTCACAGCTCCTCATATCTGTTCAGAAACTGGACAAAAGTTAAACATGTACAAACCACAGACTGTCTATGTCATGGTGAATACAGTCGCTGCTTTATTTATGTCTGTATGACGTTGTTGTGAGTGTGGACGGAGCAGCTACAGGTTAGTTTAGCCTGATC